CTCCTCAATTATCTTCGGATCATGAAAAATCTCCTCAACTATTTTTTTTTCGTAAAAAACCCTTCAACTATACTTCGTCAATGAAATCAACCCTCCGTCTAGAATAACGTTTTATCCTAATAAAAATTATTGTTTTCTGTTATAAACGACAAATCGTTTCAAATATTGACCAAAATATCAAATTGATTACACGGTGTTTTAACATACGAGGTTTCCTTCTTTTGACTTTCACAACTCAAACTCATTTGTTGTTCAGCTATCAAGACAATTTTTCATTTTTACCAAAATATATAATAAAAAAAAGACAAATTTTCATTTATCTTTTGTATATTTTTTTTGACGTCAAACAGGTAGGGGTGTTAAAAATGAATGTGTGGTTTGGACAATGCCAGTCTTCCCAGATTTCTCGACTTATTGGCAAGTTTGGTCATCAAGTTCGTTTAGAGTGTTTGGTCTAGCGCACATTGTCTTTTCTCGCTCTAGTGCCTTGGCTAGATTTCTAGGGGTCCAAAACAAATTTAAAAATAATTTTTTTATATATAATTTTTTAACTATAAATACAATTTAATTTCAGATGATTGTTGAATGTTAATAAAAAGTTAATGAGATAAAAAAAAAATAAACTTTTATTTTAGCATCAAAGTGGCTTTAAATTTGGGATGAGAGTCTCCAAAATTTGTTTTTACCATATTTTTATCATTATACTACAATTAATCTTTAGAATATGAGACTCTAAACTACATAAAATTCGCCTTTTTTACAATAAATGAGGCACGGCCTTGTCTCGGTCGTTCGTTAATTGGTTTGTAGATCAAACCTATCTTTTTGGGGTTATTGACGCTTTACGGATGAAGACTCAGTGAAATATACTTTTTCGTATCACTAAAGTCATCTGTAGCCTACCTGCATTTAGGTCTGGACGCGGATCAAATATCCGAAAAAATGCAGCATTTGTGATTCGGTTTTTTTTACGGATATCTAATTTTCCGATTTGCTTTGCTTTGAAAAATTTCAGATATCCGGAATTACGGATATCCGGATTTTTTCTGGATATTTGCGGATATCCGGATCTTCACGGATATTAATTAAAAAAAACCATAATCTTTTTTTCAAAACGAAAGTTTTAATATAAGATTTAAACTAATTAATGAATAAATATATGAAATTTGTCTAATTTTATTTG